CTGTGAGGAGTGAGCCCCCCACACCCAGGGGAAAGGAAGTAAGCTCTATCTCCCGAACGGGACATACCAAAGAACTCTGTACACACAACTTTAAATCCATGACAGTGTTACTGGGATGGAAATTTACAGCCTTAGGTGCATTTGGTAGAGATAAATGAAATCGTAAAATTAAACTACCTCAGTCAACAAATTAAAAAGAATGGAGTAAGCTTAAAGAAAGAGGAAGTGAGCTAAGAGCAAACATAAGTGAAAGAAATGCTAGAATGTTCAACAACACTGAAAGCTCCTTCTTTGAAAAGACCACTAAGGTAGCAACTCTTCAGCAAGACTGGTCAAGACAAAAGCAAAAGTACAAATAACAATATTAAAAATGGGAAACAGAGGCGCCTGGGTGGCTCAGTCGTTAAGCGCCTGCCTTCGGCTCAGGTCATGATCCCAGAGTCCTGGGATCAAGCCCCGCATCAGGCTCCCTGCTCTGCAGGAAGCCTGCTTCTCCCTCTCCCACTCCCCCTGCTTGTGTTCCCTCTCTCGCTGTCTCTCTCTGTCAAATAAATAAATAAAACCTTTAAAAAAAAAAAAAGGGAAACAGAGGGGCGCGAGGGTGGCTCAGTCTTTGAGCGTCTGCCTTTGGCTCAGGTCATGATCTTCAAGTCCTGGGATCGAGCCCCATGTCAGGCTCCCTGCTCAGTGGAGATTGGGCTTCTCCCTCTCTGCCTCTCCCCCTGCTTGTGCTCTCTCTGTCTCTCTCAAATGAATAAATAAAATCTTAAAAAACAATGGGAAACAGGGCTACTGAGGAATTGGGAAGAAATTTACGTCAACAACTTTGAAAACAGAGACGTACTGGACAATTTTGTAGAAAATATCACTTACCAATACTGACGCATGCTGACACAGAAGACCTGAATAGATCTATTACCATTTATTAAATCAAGTTAGAAATTAAAATTTTAAGCCCTCCCTCCTCCTCCCCTCCAACAAAATTAAATATCAGATCCACTGGCATCTTACAGGCAAATTTCATCAAACCTTCTAAGAAAGAGATAATGCCCACACTGAAGTATTACAGAAAACAGAGAGATGCTCCCCAAACCACTTTATCAGCCCCGTGTAAATGAGATACTAAAACTAGATGTAGACGGGGGAATCCGCAGTCCAGTTTTCCTTATGAACACAGATTCAAAAGTCCTAAATAAAGTTAATAAACAGAACTTGGCAAAAATGGTATTAAATCATAGAGTTTACCCTTGGAATATAAACATCGGTTTAACATTAAAAAAATCATCAATGTCATTCATTAATAGATTAACGGAGGGAAGAAATATCACTTCAAGAGAGATAGAAATGCCTCTGATATAATTGAATACTCATTCCCATTGAAAATGCTTCATATGCTAAGGACTGAATTTTCTTACCCTATAAAGCACACCTTACAAAATCATACATCAAACATTGAATTCAACACACTTAATAATCCTAACTAAAACACGGAAGCATCCTTTTAAAATCAGGAACAAGACAAAGATGCTATCATCTTGCTATCATCCTCCTGCTAGCTAATTAAATAAAAGAAAGAGCAGTACTTACACAAGGAGTGTAAGTATTGAGATGCAAGAAGGAAATCTCTCATGGTTTCTACCATCGTTTTCATCGTTCAATCTGTTTTTATTCAAAACTGCTCTCCATGTGCAGGCAGATTCTCTGGGAACCTCTGATCTTTCCTCTCTGTCCTGGGCTGTGATCTGGGCGGGGCACCAACCCATCAGCCCCCCAAGCCAAGCACCTCCTGCAAGCTGCTTTCTCTCTCTCTTTTTAAAAAGATTTTATTTATTTGAGAGAGAGAGAATGAGTTGGGCAAGGGGCAGAGGGAGAGGGAGAATCAGGTTCCATGCTCAGCGGGGAGCCTGACGCGGGGCTCGACCCCAGGACCCCGGGATCACGACCTGAGCTGAAGGCAGACGCGTCACGGGCTGAGCTGCCCAGGCGCCCCTCTTTTTCTCTTATCACAGCCTTGGAAGACTACCTGAATCATCAGCATCTTACCCCTCCGCAGGAGGGCCAAGGGCCTGGAATTTAATGCGAACAGCACAAGCCAGGTGCTCAGAGTCTTCTCCGTTCCTGTTCTGGAAATGCGCGTGTCACAGGCCAGCCCCTGGTTGCAGCAGCCGCAACCTCGCCCCTTCCTCTCCGTCCCTCCATCACCCCAGCCCTGGGCTGGTCTTCTATCAACAGGGGTGACTGAGGAGGCCTCAGTGGAGGGACTATTTACAAAGATGCGTGCGGGGCTCAGCAAACCCCGCGGGGCGCAAAGCATCACTGCGCTGCAGGGGCGAGGCGGGGAGCCGCAGCTCCGACGCAAGCTCCGTGCCCGCTCGGGGGCGCCCCCTCCCCCCCAGCTCTTGAGTCATCTGCTCCTCCGCTGCACCTCTTCCTAACCCGCTGCTGCTCACTTCTGGCCCGTGGACAGATGCCCGACCGCCCAGGGGTCAGCACGGCCCCATCCTAGTGTCGAGCTTCACACCTGCCAGGGCCTTAACTGGCTGGCCCCTGTGTGTTTTGACTCCCAAGTCTGTGGCTTCGGTCCTGACTCTGAGAGCCCTTTCCCTGCGTGACTTCTCCGTTCAGATGCCCGACAGACGTCTCGGACGGAACACGAGCAAGACCCGAGCCCGATCCTGCCACCGCGGCCTCCAAAGCCGCTGCCCAACCACGCGTAGCTGCCCGCGCCTGAACCCCAAACCCAGGGGCCGTCGGCCGAGCAGCAAGTCGTGTTCACCGCCTGGAACCCGCTCCTCCTACCACCACAGTCTACACTGTCATCACTCGGCGGATTCACCACAGACGTCTCCTCTCCAGGACTCCCTGCTTCCTCACTTATCTGCACAAAGATGTTTCAAAAAGCAACCGTAGTGGTTTTGGTCCATTGTGCTTATTTTCTAACATACGCTGTTTTGTATTTGCCATGCTTATTTTTATTATTTGCTTATTTATTTTTTAAGATTTGTTAATTTATTTGAGAGAGAGCATGAACGGGGGAGGGGCAGAGGGAGAGAGAGACGCAGCCCCCCCACTGAGGGTGGAGCCCAAGGCACGGATGGATCCCACGATCCTGAGATCAGGACCTGAGCCGAAATCAAGAGTTCGATGCTCAACCCCCAGAGGCACCCAGGCGCCCGTCATGCGTAACTTTGCGTCTGTTGTAGAATGAGCTCCTTGAAGACAGGGAGCATCCCAGCGAAGAACAGTACCTGGTCAATACGAGGTGCGGCATACCTGTGTCTGAGTGGAACCACTAATCCTCTGCCTGTAAGGCTTGAGCAGCTTCCCAACGCCCTCGGGAGAAACCCGGGACCCTGCAGCGCGGTCCACGAGGCCGCGGACCCTCCCCTGCTCTCCCGCCCCTCCGCCCACCGCACTGCCCTCGG